TTAGCTGGGCCAGTGTGTGCTGTGATTGGCAGCACTCGGCGCCTGGTCGGGAAATGTCATGCCCTTTACCATAGCCGCCTGCGAGCTTCAGTGTAAATATTGCGTCAAAATCAAATCAATTTGAGAGCGATTTAAACCCGGATGATTGTAACCACTCTAAGTTCGTCTGCCTTGGGGAAAGCTAGCGTGTCTCCGACATAGTGATAACACTCGTTGCCTTCTCTAGTGCAGCTCGACCAGGTCTCGTCCCATTCGTCGGTATTTGTGATATCACAAATCCCGGAAAATATGCGTTGTAGTCCAAACGAGTCGTTCGTTGTAGTTTTTGAAAAGTGATTTCTGTTAAATAAAATCTCCTTTTGAAGGAGCTTTGTAACTTTGCAGATCTTTTTTATGCTCAAACAGCAACATTACAGACTAACTAAAGTTGAAAAAGTGAAAAAGCATAGTAGGACATCTTTAAAGATCGCAAACACGATTCAAACACCAATGTGATCTTTCTTAAATGACAACGGTTCAGCTGTTCAACCTTTGACGTGTTTGAACAACGGTGTGATCATCGCTCTCACTCAGCTGTCATGTGTATGTATGAAACAGCTTCACAAAGAGTCTTTTCAACCACACAGTATTATTATTTCTGTTACAATCATTCAAATAAATCACAGAAGAACGGGGATACATGTTTATAGTTTGGAAATAAACACTGATGTGTACTGTAGTGATTAAAATAGAGTAAATCACCTTTTGAAAGTAATTTGACGCTTCAAATAAAGATTTAAAAATTCAAATAAAAAAAAAGAAATTGTCTTTGAATCATTCATTCAAGAGATTCATTCAAAAACACTTATTCATCCAATAATGAAACAAGTAAATCTTAAGTGAGTCATTGAATCATTCATTTATAAATCAAAATAGTTTTGTAAAAAAAAAAATTATATATATATCGTCATTTATGAATAAAAAAAAAATCTCAATTTATCAAGAATTGTGCAGCTCTATTTTGCACACAAACAGCTCTTAATCGACTAATTTATGTAGCCTGCTGATTTTTGTTCAAAGTAATTTGACGCTTCAAATAAAGATTTAAAAATTCAAATAAAAAAAAAGAAATTGTCTTTGAATCATTCATTCAAGAGATTCATTCAAAAACACTTATTCATCCAATAATGAAACAAGTAAATCTTAAGTGAGTCATTGAATAATTCATTCATAAATTACATGTGATTTTTGTAAAAAAAAAAATAAAAAATAAAAAATAAAAAATCACATGTAATTTATGAACCCCCCCTCTCTCTCTCCTCAATTTATCCAGAATTGTGCAGCTCTATTTTACAGCTTTTAATCCAGTCCAGATTTTATGTAGCCTGCTGATTTTTGTTCAAGGTATTCAGTTGCAACTACATGTTTTGCAAAAAGAGACCGAATAAATGTTTGATATCTAAATGTTTGAATATATATATATTTTTTTTATCCACACTGGAATCGAAACTGGGAATCGATAAGCAGAATCGGAATCGATAAATTTCAAACAATACCCAATCCTAAAAGTAGTAAAGACCTTTATAAAAGATTAATAGATAATTTATAAAAAGACATTTATTTGTTATAAAAGATTTATTTTTATATAAATACTGTTCTTTTGAACTTCACATTCATCAAGGAAACCTGAAAAAAAATTGCACAACTGTTTTCAACAATGATTATAATCAGAAATGTTTCTTGATTTCTGAAGGATCATGTGACACTGAAGTCTGGAGTAATGATGCTGAAAATTCAGCTTTGCATCACAAGAATTAATTATATTTTTAAATGCATTAAAACGGAAAAAAGTTATTTTAAATTGTAATAATATTTCACAATTTCACTGTTTTTACAGTATTTTTGATCAAATAAATGCAACCTTGGTGAGCATAAGAGATTTCTTTCAACAAGATTAAAAAACCCTTACTAAACCCTGAAACAGTAGCGTATATCTACAAAGTCTTGACCCATCTCTTTTTTATAAGACACATTTATAATGGACCTCAACAAAAGCGGAGCTGTACACGCTCGCTAAACTTTATTAATGAGGCGTGCTACAGTTGTTCAGTTTGTAGTCCTAAAACCAGGAAGAGAATAAGCATTTCTGAGCCATCAGTTCACTCAGGAGATTTTCGATTTCTGTGGTTAAAATGACTTGTGAAGCAGGGTTATTGCAGTTTTAGTTAACTTTAACAAACTAAAACTACAACCATAAAAAAAAAAAACACATTTTCATTACTTGAAATAAAATAAACATTAACCGATCTAAAAATCTAATTTTAAATTGTTTAAAGGGGTCATTTGATGCTTTTTTAAAGATCATTATTTTGTGTATTTGGTGTAACAGAATATGTTGACATGCTTTAATGTTCAAAAAACACATTATTTTTCAAATACTATACATTATTTTAGGTCCTCTATGCCCCGCTTCTCTCAAATGCTTCGTTTTCTACAAAGTCCCTCCGTCCGACAAGCGCAGTCTGCTCTGATTGGCCAGCTGACCCAGTGCATTGTGATTGGCCGAACACCGCAAGCACTCGTCAGAAATGTAACGCCCCTTACCATAATCACGAGCTTCATCTTTCAAAATAAATGTAAAGAGTAAAGACAGAGCCCGAAAGGGGAACAGAGTCGCGTGACAGACACAGTGATGAAGCTGGTATGTGTTTGCAGTACACAAGCCACGGTTAAGACAGCTCTACTAAAATAATTACAACTAAATCTGAAATATTACTGATTAAAAAAAATAAAAGTCTCTGATATTAAAATAACATTGTTGTGAATGTTTCTTCACTTTTATGTACATTGCTCTCCAACATTAATAACTCACAGCTGTACCCTGAATTTTGAAAATACTGCATGTGTAAAAACACAACAGCTCTATTACTCCGCTCACCTCTTCTGCCATCTGCAGGAGAGTCTGGTTGTTGGTCTCCCATTTGGTCCTCCATAGTGTGGTCTCCTTCTCAAGCTTCTTGATCTTCTTGGTCATCTGATTAATGTCAGAAAACAAAAATGGGTCATTCCATATGGGCTTTTCCATACAAGACCATATTCATTTGACTTTGATAGTCTTTCAAATAATCCGGTCTGACCATTTCATTGTCGGAAAGTGTTATATTTGGAATTATGTGAAGGTGAAAATGTAGAGATACAACTATATTAAAATCCTTACCTATAAGACTTATTTGACTAATAAAAGGATCATGTGACACTGAAGTCTGGAGTAATGATGCTGAAAATTCAGCTTTGCATCACAGGAATAAATTATATTTTAAATTGTAATAATATTTCCCAATATTTCTACATTTTTGATCAAATAAATGCAGCCTTGGTGACCTTGAGAGACCTCTTTTGAACACTTCCTGCACACTCACTTTCTCCATCTCCTGTCGGAAGGTGGTGAAGACCTCGTTGCTCTTGGCGAGGGTGGTCTGAAACTCCTCAAACTTGTCCATGTACAGAGTGAGCTGCTGCTTTAACTGATGCTCCTGCTCCTTCATCAGCTCACATTTATGTCTGGACTCAGTCGCGTCCTTCAGAAGCTGAACAGAGAATATAGATAAACATTTAGGTGGCATCATTTTCCTGCAGCTCCAGGAGTGTTTAGTCACATGGCATTTACGGCTCAGGTGACTGGATCAAATTAACCTGGCTGCAGAACTGAGTGCCAGAGAGCAAAGATAGCTCAAACTTCTACTTCAGAAGGCCTCACACCAGCAAGCAACTTCTATTGTGATAAATGGGAATGCTAATGGATAGCTTAATCCAAATACTATAGATCTCCTTGGTTGCAGGTGCCAATCCTTCAGGATTAGTAACAGGCTCAGAAACAGGATTAGGATTATGACAAGGATACTCACAAACTCTCTTTCTCTCTGCTGTTTCTCCTCCACCTCTCGCATCAGCTCAGCCGTCCTCTGGAGTTTAGCGTCCACCAGCTGCTGTTGCAGTTCCTTGTGTTTGAACACCTTGTCGATGTGCTGGGTAAAGATAAATGTCATGTTCACAGTATTCTTCAAAAGCGCAATCGCTTGGAAAACGGCAACATTTCCTTATCGATCCTTATTTTTAACTTGCGGACAATTTTAATGTGTGAGGCTTCCAGTGTCATTGGCTTCCAATTATTTTAGCTGTACAAAAATGTGTTATGCTGCTTGATACAGCAAACCAAGGTTATTACAGTTAAATAAAACCATAAAATACATTTACATTACCTGAAATAAAAAAATGTTAACTGAAATAAAATACTAATATATATATATATATTTTTTTTTTTTTTTACAATATATACATTTCTTCTATAAATACTACAACTTAAAATAACTGTTTTATAACAATTTTTATATATTTAAAAAATTTTCCTATGATGCAAAGCTGAATTTTCAGCTGTCATTTATTACTCCAGTCTTCAGTGTCACATGATCCTTCAAAAATCGTGAATTGATAAATAGAAAGCTCAAAGAACAACATTTATTTGAAACAGAAATCTTTTGTAACATTATAAAGGTCTTTACTGTCACTTTTGATCAATGTAATGCATTCATGTTCAAAAAAAGAACCGTTTTCAACAAGAATAATAATAAATGTTTCTTAAGCAGCAAATCAGCATACTAGAATGATTTCTGAAGGATCATGTGACACTAAAGACTGGCGTAATAATGCTAAAAAATGTAGCTTGGCATTACAGGAATAAATTATATTTGAAAATATATTAAATTAGACTACAACCTATTCCAAACTTTTGAACAGTAGAAAACGTATGCTTATTCCTACATACAGAGTCACGTGATTAGTCATAATGGTTTCATTTGAAGCACATTTGGAATGAGCTCAACATGCAAAACACTTATATTTTAGAAGCAATATGAATGGACAGATCAAACACCTTGGCTTTACAGAGTACACAACAAATGAAACCTCGGAGGGCTCGAAGGACTCAGCATAACAGCCATTTTTCATATTGGACAGATGTTGCCTCACCTCCTCCCGGAGCTCATACTGCTCGATGAGCTTCTTGAGTTTCTCAGCCAGCTCCATGTTCTCCTGCCGCAGCTTGCTGTTGTGCAAGTTGTGCTGCTCCATCTGGGCCTCAATCTCATTGAGTGTCATCTGGAAGTGCAGCGTGGCCTCCTTGCGCCGCTCCTCATACTCCCTGAACCTCTGAGCGTTCTCCTCCTGCCATCACAATGTTTATCTGGTTAAACAAAGGCCAATACGAATCTTCAAATCAAATCCGGGATGTGCGTGAGCTCTGGTGGCTGTACCTTCAGGGTCTTGTTATGGCGCTGAAGTTCCCTGCAAAGGCTCTCCAGTTTGCTGCGTGCCAGGACGGCTTTGCTGTGCTCGCTCTGCAGGTGGATCTTCTCTTTCAGCACCTGATTCTGCTTTTTCTGCAACACCTTCACCTGCTTTTGTATGCTGCGACTCTCCTCCAGCTGTCCCAGGAGGAATGGCACATTAGTAGTTAGTGATGCACTGAAATTTCAGCAACTGAAATCATTTGGCAAAAATAATAATAATAAAAAAAAGGTATCAGTGACATTTAATTATATCTGATGACACTTTTTTGACTGTCATCAATGTGGACAAGCTACAAAAGGTAAACATCAGCAATGCGGAGAAAAATTATGCTAGAATAGAAATGTCAAATTAATTTTGACTGAAATATTGAGGCAGTTTGAAGAACTTTTCTGACGTCAACACTGATAAATAACTTATATGAAATAATTAAAATATTTATTCCAGCATACATCGATTGGCTGCCTATATTGTTCACTGAAAATTATGCAGCAGATTAATTCTGATCTGAATCATATGGCAAATCAAACCCCAAAAGAGTGACAAGTGAGCCTCATATTCATCAGTTTCCTTGGGTTAAGAGTTTAAAAGGACTATTTATGAAGTACATCATAGCTCAGATTAAAAAAAAATTAAGAAGTCCTCATCATTAACAGGTAAACATGTCAGCAACATGGACCAAAAATTATGCAAGAATAGAAATTTGTTTGACTGAAATATTGAGAGGAACTTTACCACAATATTATACATAGTTACATTTCCCAGTTACCCAAAATTCTAACTTTTGGTTTTCGGCTACATCAAAACTTAAAAAAATAAAATAAAATCATTATTAGTTTTTCATACTACATTAGCTGTATAATACTACGTATGGAAAAAAGAGTAGTGTTTTACACAAGAAAATAAATCATGCAATTTTGGACTGCAAATGTTGTTTTTTTTGTGAACTTGTCCGTAAGGACATTAAGTATAAAGTATAATATTCATTGTTGTGTAATATCCTTTCTCTAGCACCAAATACATACCAGGTCTGCATATTTCTTACAAAGGGCAGCGAGTTTTTCTTCTGGGGTGGCTAAGGTATGAAGCGCCTGCATAAGCAACAACACCTCTTTGCCTATGACAACAAAAGAAGAATTATGCTTAGAATAACCTGTTGTTGATAGATGAGTTATCCCATCACAAACAACAAAAAAAAAAACACACACACATTTCTTCTAAAACAAAAAGGTCTACCGATTAAAAGAATGGTTCACCCAAAAATGAAAATATTTGAAGTGAACAGTTATTGGTCCCCACTGACTTCCATAGGATGAAAAAAACAAATACTATGAAAGTCAATGGGGACCAGAAAATGTTCGGTTGCCCACATTCTTCAAAATATCTTCTTTTGTATTCAGCAGAAAAAAGAAACACTAACCAAATGCATTATGGTCCTTGGTTTTCTCAGCGTTAGGGTCCAACTCCCCATCGAGGGGGTCAGGGTTACTATCCTCCCTTCCAGGCGTCTCCCCTCTCTCCTCCTCACTGCTCACCAGCCCGTTATCCTGGGATGGGGTCTCCACATCCGGAGGTGAATTGCTCCCTTCAACGAGTCCTCTGGCTTCTAGACCACAGACCCCAATGATTTCCTCCATGACTTCAGCGCGCTGATGGTGTAAACACAAAAAATGTGTAAGGAGATGAGTTTAAATGAACCGAGCTGAGATTGTGTAGTTTTGACAACAACATTAGTCGCCGACTCACTGCATATAAGTGACACATATTACATCCAATACAAAGATGCCTGCACTAGTTCTGGATATTTACTTTAAACACAAGCAAGTGCAAAACAAACTCCCTATTCAGGAAGAGAGAGATGAGTAGGTGCTGCAGACAGAGGCTGTCTCTCAAATCCCAGTGAGCTCCCTACCTAGGCAGCATTTGTTTGCACCACACACGTTTAAAATGCACGAAGTTCACTAGGTTTAGAGCCACAGCCAGAGAGTTACTTTAAAACCAGCACAAGCTAAATAAGTGAGAGGGAACGACATGAACAAATGAGACATTTATTCAAAGCACGTGTCAACTAATAATGCGTCAACACTGACCAGTTACAGTATACACTACAAACTTATGAATATGAAAACATTCAAATACTTATTCAAGCATACTTAGCTTTCCTGACATACATTAGACGCATATAATAATCCTTCTTTATGTTTATTCATATGGCAATATGAGCCTCATCAGTTTCCCCGGGTTAAAAGTTTACAATATTAAGACCAAAACCCATCTCGCCGTGAAATCTGTAACTTACAGTGATGAAGCTGTAAACCTCAGGCTAACTCACATTCACCCTGTTCAACACGAGTTGGTTAGCGGGCTAAAGCTAACGTTACTTCCTTCGTAAATCACACGCATTTATGGCGACAGGCTCCCTTCGCGTGTGTTCAGCAAGCCCTTCGTGGGGTTAGATGTGTTAATGGTGGTATGTTTAAAACAGATGTTCAGCAGTGAGCAGCTTGAGGTACAGTAACGTTACCTGTGTGGTGTCGGTGTTTTTGTGCCTGGCATCCGAGCGCGTCGCCATGTTGTGACGAAACACTAGAGGCAAGACTGGATGAGCAGAAATGAACCACATTTAAGCATTTATTTATTTATGCTATTCATTTAGTTGTCATTTCGACATGCTTTAGGATGAAATCGCACACCTGGGCTCCTCGGGTAAATCGTTCCATTATGTATAGGCTATATATTGGCTAATAAAATAAACAAATAAATGCAAAATACAAAAATAGCATCTTAGACCGAGCTTTTTATAGTTAAATCATATTTTGTGTTTGAATTGCATAGTTCAGTTGAAACGCTCAGGTCCTGTTTCTGTAGTCTTCCCACAGTCCTCTGTGTTTCATCATGTGTTTGGTCTTTATAGTTCTTTTGCACTTTAATCTGTGTAAAACTTGTAACTTTATACATTTTTCTGTATTGCTTTATTGCATTGAAATGTTCAGTTATTTTTGCTATAAGAAAAAGGTTATTAAACCTGTTATACTGTATTATGACAGCACTTTTTTAAACTAAATGTCAATATCGTGATAATACCGTATACCGTGATAAAATACCTAGTTGCTGCTTAGGAGCTGACAGACAGACACCTCGTTCCCGTGAAGCTCTTATGGGGACACTGGACACTTCAGAGCCTGAGAGCTTTCAGGAAGAGAGACGTGATCCACTACTCAGAGCTGAATACAGGCAAGTCTGCCAAATGCTGGAAATGGTATTCATTTGGTTTGATCTGGGCAGCAGACTTTAAAGGGGCACTGGTGGGGATGAATCCTTTTTTGCGTTCAAGGAAAATGATTTCGTCCTGAATTTATATGCTGCAGTAGATTAGGGTGACCGTACGTGCCATTTTCCCAGGACGCGTCCTGGGAAAATGGCACGTATGGTCACCCTACAGTAGATGCCTCTGCCTTACAGTGGGAAGGAGGAAGCAACACTTCATATTTCCTGGCAACGTTTATGGTGGGAGTGTAGACCTGGGGCCTGTACCATGAAGCCGGATTAACTGGCTAGCCAGATAAGTTTCAGTTTAGTTTGCACCAATCCTGGGTTTTAGGTACCACGAAAGTGGCTTGGCTTTTTGTGGCGTTCATTTCCATAGTAACTTACACCCCACAGCTAACCTGCTTGAGGTCAGGTTATGTTCTGAGTAAGAGATCTCAAACTGAAATTGGACCAATCAGATGTGAGCAAAGTGACACGTGTGTGACACAGAAAAGTCACTCCCCCAGTTTCTCTTCCTCCAAATTAAAGGTCACTATATAGTAAAAACAAACAAACAAAACAAAAAAAATCGTCTGGCTTAAATGATAATTACTTAGAAAATGCAATTCGAATGGAATATTATTATTATTAAAATGATTATTTGTTGATAATTCTAATAATGTTTCACCAGACAAAGTGCATTTTTCAGTTTTTATTGTACTACTAGACCTTTTTTTTATTTTTTAGAAGTCATCTTTTTATGGCCATATGTTTCAGACTCCTTTATATAACTTCATAATATCAGTTTCTTCATTTTCATTTGTTATGAGAAACTAAATAATTAAATAATTAGGTCTGACAAATGTGGTTCAAGTCAAGTCACCTTTATTTATATAGCGCTTTTAACAATACAGATTGTGTCAAAGCAACTTTACAGCATTAAATAGGAAAATAGTGACTCAATAATGTAAAAAGACAATAGCAAACACTCAATTTTCAGTTAAAGGCAGTTCATCATCGTCCAGCTCAGTTCAGTTTAAATCAGGGGTGCCCAAACTCGGTCCTGGAGGGCCGGTGTCCTGCAGAGTTTAGTGAGTAAGAGATCTCAAACTGAAATTGGACCAATCAGATGTGAGCAAAGTGACACGTGTGTGACACAGAAAAGTCACTCCCCCAGTTTCTCTTCCTCCAAATTAAAGGTCACTATATAGCAAAAACAAACAGACAAACAAAACAAAAAAGTGTCTGGCTTAAATGATAATTACTTAGAAAATGCAATTTGAATGGAATATTATTATTATTAAAATGATTATTTGTTGATAATTCTAATAATGTTTCACCAGACAAAGTGCATTTTTCAGTTTTTATTGTACTACTAGACCTTTTTTTTATTTTTTAGAAGTCATCTTTTTATGGCCATATGCTTCAGACTCCTTTATATAACTTCATAATATCAGTTTCTTCATTTTCATTTGTTATGAGAAACTAAATAATTAAATAATTAGGTCTGACAAATGTGGTTCAAGTCAAGTCACCTTTATTTATATAGCGCTTTTAACAATACAGATTGTGTCAAAGCAACTTTACAGCATTAAATAGGAAAATAGTGACTCAATAATGTAAAAAGACAATAGCAAACACTCAATTTTCAGTTAAAGGCAGTTCATCATCGTCCAGCTCAGTTCAGTTTAAATCAGGGGTGCCCAAACTCGGTCCTGGAGGGCCGGTGTCCTGCAGAGTTTAGATCCAACTCCAATTAGACACACCTGAACCAGCTAATCAAGCTCTTACCAGGCATACTAGAAACCTCCAGGCAGGTGTGTTGAGGCAGGTTGGAGCTAAACTCTGCAGGACACCGGCCCTCCAGGACAGAGTTTGGGCACTTCTGGTTTAAATAGTGTCTGTGCAATCAAGTCGACGATATCGCTGGAAATTTAGTGTCCCCAACGTCCTGCAGAGTTTAGATCCAACTCCAATTAGACACACCTGAACCAGCTAATCAAGCTCTTACCAGGCATACTAGAAACCTCCAGGCAGGTGTGTTGAGGCAGGTTGGAGCTAAACTCTGCAGGACACCGGCCCTCCAGGACAGAGTTTGGGCACTTCTGGTTTAAATAGTGTCTGTGCAATCAAGTCGACGATATCGCTGGAAATTTAGTGTCCCCAACTAAGCAAGCCAGAGGCGACAGCGGCAAGGAACCAAAACTCCATCGGTGACAGAATGGAGAAAAAACCTTGGGAGAAACCAGGCTCAGTCCTGGGGCCAGTTCTCCTCTGGTAAAGCTGTAGACACAGCAGCCAAACAGTTACAGTAACGTTACAATTTTAATATTATTTTATTTAAATAAAGACTATATTAAGTTACATCTTCTAATATTAAATTAGATTATCGCATTTAGACTCATAAATTGCGACTTGACCTATTGTGCGTTACTGGCTGCACTTCACCAGCGCGGCCTGCAGGCGGCAGCATCATCCTTAGATCCCGAGTCTACCTGTAAAACGGAAAAGAAGAAGAAGAAGAAAAACAAATGGCGCGCTGCTGGGGTTGTAGGAGTTGTCACTTTGTTTAGATGTCATTTGAGTGCATTTCATGTTGTTGTTTATGGTTCCACCGAAGCACAGCCGATCAGAATTAGCTATTTCTTCGAGTTTTGTTAAGTGATTGAGGTTAGAGTTAAGAGTGGGTGCATTTTATAGTGCTTTGGTGCAGCTCTTTACATGTGATCAGTGTGTTTTGGGGGAAATGCCTCTTATTAAGCTCAGAGGAGTCACTGTGGACTTTCCCTTCACTCCATACCCGTGCCAGGAGGACTACATGAGCAAAGTCATCGAGTGCCTGCAGAATGTAAGAACATACAAGTTAAAAAAGTGTAACCCCTGTGCGCCAGTTTAAAAACCTACAGAGGTCCTTAGTGGACAAAAACGGTCATAAAAATATTATATTAGTATTTTTTTTCATTTTCACTGACACCAACATCAGTCTTGCAAAAGCATACTGAAAATGCATTCATTTTCAGTATTTTGATCGTGTGCCAGTTTGTTTACATAATGCCACTGTTGTCTATTAAATGCTAAACAGATTTTCTTTTGGATTATTACAGTAGTGTATGTCAATGATTAGCGACAATATTTATTTTAATGCATTATTATTATTTTTTTGCAGTGTCAGATTAAAAAAAGAAGAAAAAAATCCCCAACTATTCTCTCACACATTCCTCAGTAGACACATACAAACAACACTCTGATATCGATACCAATACATTTATACAATTATAATTACACAAATTCAATTTAGGTTTTTGTTAATGTTTTTTTTCCCAGCAGAAAACAGAAAAAAAGCGAGTATTTTCTTTATAAGCCTGAGAACCTGAGAAAATGGTTTCATCAGGTGGAGAATAGTAAAAAAAAAAGTAAATATATTGCTGCCTTACCAAAAGTTTGAAAGCCTATTAACAAAGAATGCATAATTTTATGCTTCAATGGCACTGGGATTAAATATTGCTGTTTCAACGGGGACATTTTTGTCTTTAAGGTCCTGAGTGTAACTAAGTGTAAAATATATTTACAAGGAAACGAGGGTGAAATTTTAGTATTCCAATAAATACACATTTTTAAAGCAGCACTATGTAACTTATTCTGTGTTCAAAATTTGCAAAATGTATATAATGAGCGAGTACATCATGAATTCATCTTCCAAACCGCGTTTTTGGGAGTTGTCACTTTGTTTAGATGTCATTTGAGTGCATTTCATGTTGTTGTTTATGGTTCCACCGAAGCACAGCCGATCAGAATTAGCTATTTCTTCGAGTTTTGTTAAGTGATTGAGGTTAGAGTTAAGAGTGGGTGCATTTTATAGTGCTTTGGTGCAGCTCTTTACATGTGATCAGTGTGTTTTGGGGGAAATGCCTCTTATTAAGCTCAGAGGAGTCACTGTGGACTTTCCCTTCACTCCATACCCGTGCCAGGAGGACTACATGAGCAAAGTCATCGAGTGCCTGCAGAATGTAAGAACATACAAGTTAAAAAAGTGTAACCCCTGTGCGCCAGTTTAAAAACCTACAGAGGTCCTTAGTGGACAAAAACGGTCATAAAAATATTATATTAGTATTTTTTTTCATTTTCACTGACACCAACATCAGTCTTGCAAAAGCATACTGAAAATGCATTCATTTTCAGTATTTTGATCGTGTGCCAGTTTGTTTACATAATGCCACTGTTGTCTATTAAATGCTAAACAGATTTTCTTTTGGATTATTACAGTAGTGTATGTCAATGATTAGCGACAATATTTATTTTAATGCATTATTATTATTTTTTTGCAGTGTCAGATTAAAAAAAGAAGAAAAAAATCCCCAACTATTCTCTCACACATTCCTCAGTAGACACATACAAACAACACTCTGATATCGATACCAATACATTTATACAATTATAATTACACAAATTCAATTTAGGTTTTTGTTAATGTT